AAAAAAAGAAAAAGCAGTGTTTCTCTCCTTGGCGGCCGGGAGCGGGAGATTTTTTTTTCTTTTTTTTTGACGGAAGAAGAACCGCCGGCCAATAGAAAACAGTTGGGCGGAGCTAGCTGTCACTGCTAGCTCCGCACAATCGTTTTCTATTTATTTTTTTCTACTTTTTAAACTATTTTACTGTTCTGCTCGGTACCACAGAGGGAACGAGCAGAACAGCCGAGCTGAATGCCGCTCAGCGGCATTCGGCTATTCACTCACTGCTGTTCGGCATCTATAAGAATAGACCAAACAGCAGCGAGTAACCTGCCGGAGGTTCGGCTTAGCCGATGCAGATGTTGGCTCGGCTGAGTCGAACTCCTTCTGCACTTCGGGTCGGCCGAACATGCTGAGCAGAAGCAGGCTGTCGGCCGGCCAAGGGCCGGCCGCTCGGCCAGCTTCGGCTTTCAGCACGCCTCAGCCGAGCTGATGCATATGCGTTCGGCTCGACTGAGCCGCTCGGCCATGTTTGGGAGCTGTACGGGCTATAGTGAATAGCTACTGAACCGATGGGGTCCTGGGGCCGAAGCTAGCCGAAGGATCGGCCGAAGCTACGGCTAGATCCTTCGGCAGCTTCGTGAATAGACCCCATAGGCTAGCATCCAAAAAATAGAAAAAGGTATCCTACAATTTCTGGTTTGTGGCAAACTGTTGGTAGTAAGACAGAGGGACAAAAATGACATCTTCATGCTCAGTACAATACAGACAGAAGCCAATGTAGCAGTCACAGAAAAAGAACCAAATATGTCAAACCAGAAACCCATTTGCATTCTTGATTACAACAAATACATGGAGTGTGTTGACCTGCTACAACCATATATGGTCCTGCACAGATTATATATTTGGTATAAAAAGCTGACCATATATCTCATCCAGACAGCAACGTGCATATTTTGTATAAATGGGAGGTCAGCACAGACAAGAATCTCATGTTTCCTCACATTTGCATCAAGTTAAGCAGCCCATTCATGGACTATAACACACCTAAATGCCTCACAATTTTGGTCCTGCTGTATTTTTTTACTGCAACACGCACTCTGAAGAGAAAGTGGAAATAAAATAAGCCCCATCATTGGTGTCAGTTGCAGTCATAGCTTTGGTGTCACTGGCCACAATGGTAAACCCCAGCATTGGTGTCAGTGACCACAATAGTAATCCCAGTATTGGTGTCAGTAACTGCAGTAATAATCCCCAGCATTGGTGTCAGTGACCGCAATAACTTCCAGCACTGGTGTTAGTGACAGCAATAATAACACCCACATTGTTGGTCAGTGTTATGCTATTTAAATTCCCCTTCATTGGTAGTGAGTGGCAATTAACCCCTCCCCTGAACCCCCTTCCTGCATAAATGGTCAGTAGCAGTTCTATTTAGAATTCCTCCTCAATGATTGTTAGTGGCAATGTTATTCATCCAGTCCTCATATTGGTAGTATACACAAACAGTGTGTATGTGTATATATATATATTGCACTTTTTGAATTTTAATTTTCATATTTAGTCAATAAAAAAAAAAATAAAATATGTCTTACCTGTATAGCACAGTGCATGTTTTCTCTTTTTGCAGGAATCATCATTCCACTTCCCTGGATCCTTTTCTCTCCCAATATATATCTCAACGCAGTCTTCATTGTTCTTCTTATTATTTGGTTCCTTCTCACCCCAGTTTTCTGCCTCTTTTGTGAGAGTCTGGTTGGTTCCCACCCAAGTCCATACACCATTGATCTTCCTTATTCCTATCCAATAGTAATATATTTGTTTGGGTATATTTTCTTTGAGGTAATCAATCTCTTTTTTATTCTGTATGGCAACAAGATCTGTATATTTAGTCTGACAAAATGTCTGAGCGTCATCATAGGTCATGCCCTGTGTGGAATAATGGTATGTCCAACAATGGGTGACAGAAACTGTAAATAAAACTGGGGGGAAAAAAGACATTTGTCACATGGGTTTAAGGACAATAATTTTCATGTATATAACTGAATCATATCTTTTGATTGATGTGTAAGAAGAGAGTTTAAAAATCATCATACTTAAAGCCATTACTATAGTCACCAGAGGATGCCAGTGGCCACCTATCATAACTGCTCCTTCTCTATGTAGTTCCAGTTCAATTACTGACACGGGATAGCCTTTTACACCACCTGTTGTATTCTCTCTTATATAAAAAGAATTAAAATTACAATAGGGAGAATTAGACCCCTTGCAATGAACATATAGATTAACTTACAATGCATCTGTGTCCAGACTATGAACACTATTTACATATTCTTAACAAAAAAACTTACAGAAAACTACTGTCACAATCTTTACCAAATCTACTGGAGAACCTGCCTGACACAGAGATTGTACTAAATCGGGTCCACTGAGCTGTAGTAACTACAGAACATAATTTGCAGAGTCTACTGATATTCTCAAAAATAGGAAATCTTGCAGAGGGCCTGGTCTGGGGCCCCAGTGGATTTTGGTGCCAGTATTTGAATGTTACCGGACCTGTCCAAAGCCAATGGCTCACATTGCTGTAACCTTTCCAGGACAAACTACGGAACACAGGGATAGCCTACTGCTGGGGCTTCCCCTTTCACAAGTTCTTGGCTAAAGAGACCGTTCACATCCTGGACTTGCTGCAGCCACTACCAAAATGCACGCCCCAGCAGAAGGTTCAGAAGATGTTCTGCTGAGTAACCCTACACCTGTCTCAACCTCAGCAGGTGCCCTGAAGCTGGACTGCAGACATTGGTGCATTTTGCCCTTTCTCCTCCCTGAGCCCAACACACAATTCAAATAAAAGAGAGAAGGTCCATATAGCTGCATCCCAAACATTGGGAGGTTTAATGTTAATTGAATTGCGCACTACTAACTGATTAAATATCAATGAATAGCTAATAGGGAAACTTCTATTGCAATTCAATCTAGCAGCTACTGTCCTAGGATATCTTAAAATTTTGAAACACAAAAGTTACTGGGAATAAAAAATGAAAGAAATTTAAAGAATGCTTTCAAAATATATTCAATGAAAGTAAACATGGAAACACCAGTATAAATGAAATACAGAAAACTCCCAGTTATCCAGCACCCATGGGGATTGGTAGGTACCGGATAACTGTACTTTCTTGTTGCGTGAGTATACGCTGCCCCCCGCAGTCCCATTCACCTGCCACCTGCTCCTAGCGCAAACTAAGTTGTTTTGAATCACCTGCCAGCTAGCTTCCGCGGCCGATAGGTGAATGGAAGCAGCAGGGAGCAATAGTAGGCCTACTATTGGCTATTGCCACAGCCAATAGCAGGCTGGCTATTGAAGCCCCGCCCACTGAGCAGAGAAGCAGACCTAAGAGAAAGTTCTCAGGTCCACTACTCTGCTCAGTGGGCAGGAACAATATCCAATAGCAGGCTGGCTATTGAAACCCCACCCACCAAGGAGAGGATTGGACCTGAGAGAGAAAGTTCTCCCTCAGGTCTGCTCCTCTGCTCAGTGGGCAGGCACAATAGCCAGTCTGCTTTTGGCTATTGCAATTTGAAATAGCCAATAGCAGGATGGCTATTTATCCCCATTTTTTACATTCTGCTGCTGAGTGTGGAATCTAGCCGCTGACCGGCAGCAAAATGTAACCAAATAATTTTGTTAGCAACGAAATAAATTAAGTTGCGAATTAAACTTTTAGTGTGCACCAAGCAACCGACAGCTTTTTAATAAACATCAAGCCACCGGCAAATAAAAAGTCCTTGATTTTTTATTTTTTGCCTGTTGCTTGAGAGTGCCGGTTGCTTGAATGCAAGATAATGGGGAATTTATTGGGGAGAATTTATCAAAACTGGAGCAGACAGAATCTGGAGCAGTTGCCCATAGCAACCAATCAGCTTCTATCTTCAGTTTGTTCAGTTAAGCTTTGAAAATGAAAAAGAGAAGCTGATTGGTTATCATGCAAATCTGCTCCAGATTTTGTCTGCTCCAGTTTTGATAAATTCCTCACACTGTATATACAAAAGCATTCTAGAAAAATATCCACACCTTTATCCTAATTCTTAAGTACACATGAGACATCTAGTGGACAAAACTATATATTGCTTTTCAAATTCCTTGTGTAAATTTCTTTGCTACTAAATATTAAACGGTCAACTGTTAGTGGTATTATAACAAAGTGGAAGCAACTGGGAACAACCGCAACTCAGCCACAAAGTGGTAGGCCACGTAAAAAGACATAGGGTCACGCATGTTGAACCGCACAGTGCACAGAAGTCGCCAACTGTCTGCAGAGTCAATAGCTACAGACCTCCAAACTTTGTGTGGCCTTCAGATTGGCACAACAACAGTGCGTAGAGAGCTCCATGGAAGGGATTTCCATGGCCGAGCAGCTGCATCCAAGCCTTACATCACCTAGTGTAATGCAAAGCATCGGATGCAGTGGTGTAAAGCACGCCGCCACTGGACTCTAGAGAAGTGGAGACGTGTTCTCTGGAGTGATGAATCACGCTCCTCTGTCTGGCAATCCGATGGAGGTGTCTGGGTGTCTGGGTTTGGCGGTTACCAGGAGAACGGTACTTGCCTGACTGCATTGTGCCAAGTGTAAAGTTTGGTGGAGGAGCGATTATGGTGTGGGGTTGAGCAAACTCAATATTGAACCCTATGGGTTAAAACTGAGATGCCATTAAAGTTCATGTGCGTGTAAAGGCATACGTCCCAATACTTTTGGTAATATAGTGTATGGTTTTTTTTAAAACTTGCTGCTTACATTTAACTTGCTCTTTTCTTAATACTTCAAATGAGGTGAGGAGTTATTGTTTACCATAGATAACCATGTGTGAACTGCATTTGCAGATGTGAACACTATCTGCCCCATACCTCACCAACTTCCAGCACAATGCATTTAGGCAATGAACACACTCCTGTCATGCTTCTAGTTATTCAGACCATTTATAGTTTATATGCCAAAAGTAATTAATTAACCCAGAATTGTTTAAATACTGGCTTTTCCACACAGAAAACAAGATAGTTAAGGGGTAGGATACATGTTTTAGTGTGGAACAGCACTTTGGTAGGTAAATAGAACTTTTACATGGATATCTGTACATCAGACCACAAAGAGGGACAATAGGGGAGAAAAGAGGGACAGAGGGACTAGATTTCCTGACAGTTCTTTCAAATGAGCAACCGTTGAGAGGTGTGCTGTCCTAACAAAGGGTTAAAGTTCTAGAAGCTTGGCTTCTGCATTGTATGTTAATTTAGGGAAATTCAGTGGGGGGGGCAATTTATTAAAACTGGTGCAAAAAGAATCTGGAGCAGTTGCCAATGGCAACCAATCAGCTTCTCTTTTCAAGCTGATTGGTTACTATGGGCAACTGCTCCAGATTATGTCTGCTCCAGTTTTGATGAATTCCCCTCTGTGTATCCCCACTCTTTGTATGGAGACAGACTTACTTTGAAAGTGTTCAGAGTAGCTTGCAGTCTGCACAAAAGTCTGCTCCAAACAAACATCTAAAAGGTAAGTTGTTTTTTTTCATAATTGTTAGGTATGCTGTGGGAACATGAAACAAACATATAGTGGGGTATTCTCAAATTTTACTGCAAAATTGGAACCATACCTTAAAGGTTAATATTACCAATACACAAATCCTCACAAACCCCCAAATAATATCCTTTGGGTTGCCCTAAACCTGCATTTGAAGTTGTGGAGCAGTAGAATGTGCTACTTTAAAAGTTCCTTTTTCAATCAGGGATCTGTAATTTAGCATCAGTAGTACTACCCCACGGATCTGTTATTTAGTGGCAAAATCACTCCCGTCTCTAAATGACAGATTCCCACTCGTTTATAAACAACGGGTCAGGAATCATGGGTAAAGTCTTTGACCAAATATGGCCATTTGGATCAACTGCAGGTTCATGGTAAGTAAATAGAGCCAGATATCTACTAAAATATCTATTAATTATACTGGGAGCATATCCCCTCACCTCCTGGTTTGTCTGACACTTATGAAATAGACAGGGAGTGGGGCGAATTAGCTTTCTTTTCTGTTTTCTCAAATAGATACGTAATAGATATGTAAAGAGAAATCTCCCAAAGGAAGACACAGACAGCAATATACAGTTGACAGATGTTCTTTCACACTATCTAAAACAAAAAAAGTTGACTGGAGTTGGACGTTACGCATACCAAAAAAGATCTGTTATATGTTTTAGACGTGTTGACACAAGTGTTCTTTTGAGTAGTCTATATCCCCAATAACATAAGTCGGCATCATTTACACTGGCATATCCATACAGTATATACCATACAGTATATCTATCATCCAATATTGTTTTGTTTGGCTCAGGACGTGGTATTACCATCCTTCCAAGATACGGATTTGGGGATTACACATGCACTGGATGTGGACTTCATTCTCAGGCTGTATGTCAAGAGCACTTCAGCGCTCAGAAAGGCCATGCAGCTTCTTCTAGGATATTTGAGGCCTGGATTGTGAGAACTATCCAAAAAGCCTACTTCGCCACAGGTGGAAGATCTTCCAGTAGACCCTTAAGAAGTACCCAACCAGATCACTGTCATCATATTGAGCACCCTATATGGTGTGTTTTGCCAGAAATCAATTGCAGAACAGCACGTTTTTGTCTCATTATCATGTGGACACAGCATCTGTGACCACACTTTAGTTTGGGAGTGCGGTACTCCAGTCTTCATTTTCTTGAAGTGTTTAATAAATATTTTCTGTATCATGCTCCCTTGTTTTCATTGCTACAGCCCATGAGTATGGTGTCATCTTTGTGCCAGGAAAACTGTACAGTAAAATTGTATGCTTATCTATCTGTAATTTTCCTTTCCTAGTACAAAAGCATGTTATTATTGAGGTCCCACCCTTGTGGGGCTTACATTTTTAGGGTAGTTGCCCTTGAGGCCCTAAGGCAGGGCTTACCCACGAGTATGCTGCCATGCTTATGTGCCAGGAAAGGAAAATTACCAATAAGTATACACATTTCAAGTTTATTTTTTATACTGGGGAAGCTAGAATATTTTTATGATATGGAGCAGAATTCATAGATCCTTTAATTATGCCCCAAGGAAGTAAAACATGTTAATAATATCTCGCTACAATGACCATGTTCAGTTGCTGGTATAGTGTTGTAAATGTGGAATGCCGTGTTTGCTTTATGTCAATCATAGTCTGATTTTTTTTTCTATAAGGACTGATTTATTTAGTTGTCTAAAAGATTCCAACTTGTAGAGAATATTACCCTAAAGCTTTGGCTATCTATGTAATGTTATATATGCATGTACGTGTTTATGATAAATAAGATATATGCATTTAAAATATCTAAAGCCCCAAATATTTTTATTTTGTTTTTCATTTTGGCTATAGTAGGAAGTTATCAAAACTAGGGATGCACCGAAATTTCGGCCACTGAAAAATATCGTACGAAAATGGCACTTTTGGTAAAATGCCAAAAGTACCATCTTTCTGCCGAAATTGTGGTGCATGCCTGCTTTCTCCCCTCCACGCTGAGCACTGCTCTGTGTCCACTCTGAAATAGCGCAGTGTCCATCGTGGAGGAGAGAAACTGTCAGAGGAGGCCCGGGTGCGGGGGAGAAGAGCGCTGTGAGTTGCCGGCGTGTCACAGGAGGCTGGGCTCTCCTTCCATGATAATCCTGAATTGAGAGTGGTGTAGGGGTGTAGACAGCTGTCAGCTGTCACAGGAGGTCAGTGCGGGGAAGAGTCAGCTGTCAGCTGTCACAGGAGGTCAGTGCGGGGAAGAGTCAGCTGTCAAAATAGACTGAGTTTTCCTCCCCTCATGACCGCTCTGCATCCTGTGACAGGGAGTCAAGATGGAGAGTGCGTACAAGCAGTCAGCGATCAGTGATCACTGACTGCTTGTAAATAATTGAGGACATAGTGTGTTTAATGTGTCCCCAATTATAAATAAATGTGAAGTGCTCGACAGCACTTCCTCTTCATTCATGATTGTAGAGATAGTAAGCATACTATATCCACAAGTTATGAATGAACAGGAACACCTAGGGGTCTATTCACAAAGCTGCCGAAGGATCTGGCCGTAGCTTCAGCCGATCCTTCGGCTAGCTTCGGCCCCAGGACCCCTTCGGTTCAGTAGAACCGAAGGGGTGCTGTACGGGCTATTCACAATAGCCCGTACAGCTCCCGATCATGGCCGAGCCGAACGCATATGCATCGGCTCTGCTGAGCCGTGCTGAAAGCCGAAGCAGTGTCAGAATATAGAAAAAAAAACACAGCAGTGTTTCTCTCCTGGGCGGCCAGGAGCGAGAGGCTGCCAGAGCGCTCGGGAGAGTTTTTTTTTTCTTTTTAATATAATGGCAGCAGAGCCGCCGGACAATAGGAAACTATTGGGCAGAGCTAGCTGTCATTGCAATGGCATTCGGCCATTCACTCACTGCTGTTCGGCATCTTTAGGAATAGCCCGAACATGCTTAGTGAATAGACCCCCTAGTATAGAGGATTCCTGTTCATTTTAATAGTGACTGCAGAAAAAAAGATTGAGAACCATGTGTCCTCAATCTCCTTTTCTATTTTAAAAGGAAAATATTAGGAGTCTGTTTAGAGCCCTGATATTTCCCCAGAGCCCCCGACAGTAAAGTTAAAAAATTAAATATAAAAAACAATTAAACGTTTTTAAAAATTTAATTAAATATTTTTAAAAATTACAAAGGTTAGAATTAATTTTTTCAGTTATGGCCTCACATTTTTTTTAGTTTTGGTTTCAGAATTTCATTTTGGTGCACCTCTAGTTAAATCCAGAGTTTTTTTCCAGTCAGCATTGTATCTGACTGCCTCCACATAAGCACATCCAAAGCAATTTAGTGCCATTACATTGGAGCAGATATAGCTTCCTAACTAATGGAGACGTCTGCTGGTTTTTAGAAAGGATGCTTACAGCAAATATTTTTCTGTACTGTATGCAACAGTTTGGCCCCAACTTGTTACAACCTTGGGGCTTAAACTTACTTTTCATTTTACTTTTCCATGTTTTTGAAGCACTGCTCTTTTAAGGTAACAAGGCCCTTCATTAGTGAGTATTTTTACAAGTAATATTTGAATTCCATTGTTAAATGGACCCCTACATGGTATACATGTGCACTGTATCACCTGTTGATGTGTTCCTTTTGAATTAATAGTGAGAGGAAGTAGGAGAGAGGTGCAGTTAGATGTTGCCAACTCTGTACATGTGGTCAGCCAGATCAGGTCTTTGTCATCTCATGTCCATTGTAACATATAGCACATATACACCAATGTTATTAAACTGACATAATACATTTTTAATAAGGCATTGGAAAATGATATACTCTTTACATACCAATGTAAAGCACAGACGCTGTGACTGTTGTGATGTTCACCCGGACCATTGCAAATGACTCACATTTTGGTTTGTGACAATGCTGTAAAAAAAAAAAAATATGCAGTTACTGAATAAATAAAATAAATTATTGTTTCACATTCTGTATTCTAGATTCTGGTTGTGGGATTAAAATGAACGAAACTGCCACTATAACTGTATATTGCCTTTTGTGTAAGCAGAATGATGAGAATTGTGTTTTATTTCTTTTCAAAAGTGTTTCTGAAGGGATCCTTTTAGCAAAAATGATAACAAACATGGACTGGTAAGGGATAAAATGCACATAAGGATGTGTGGTTTTGATACTTTAGCACATTTTTGCACTTTCATTTTTTTTTATAAACCCCACCACACCTGTCAATTTCTATGAACTCATATTCTGTGTGATAAACAGCCCCAAACTGCCCAGGGTATGATCTGGGATGACAAATAATTTGTGCTCATGAATTGATGATGATAACTATCACTATACTTCCTGTGCTTCAAAACACTAGACTGTTACACAGCAGCTGTCCCGTCATTTTCCAGTCCCATCATCCACCTGCCCCATTATTTGCCTGTTCCTTCTCTCCTCTTGTCCAATAACATAATGTATTCTTTAAAACCATTTAAAAAATACAAATAATTCTGTGAATGGACAGAGGAGAGGAGGGGCACCCTGTGCAGCCGTATCTCTTCTGTTGAAGCTCCAGCGTATAGTAAAAACTATACTATCTGCACTCAGTGAACCAGTAAATTGGAAACAAAAGAGAGAGAGAGGAGAGGTGGCATAACTCCTTGTAATTCAGCACCAAATGCCTTTGCAAACCCAGATATTACCATATAAACCTAGCAGTAACTTCATCACTGTGCTGCACATAACCTGTGCGGAGAGCAGAGCTGTGGGAGGTGCCAGGAGGCCCCATCCACTACAGCCTTGGTTCTCAACTGGTGGGTCGTGACACAAAAGTGGGTTGCAACCCCGTGTTTAGTGGATTGCCTTGTGCCTTCCACTTTTCTAGATGTAGCTCCTCAGCCTCCCCCTAGCACAGCACTGTCAGTTCTCGCACCAAGCAGCCATTCAAAATATGCTGACTGGTGCCAAGTGTCTTAAGGTGGGGTGGGGTGGGCTGGGGCTATGGCAGCGAGGGAGCCTGATCCATACATGCATTGCTTACAGCTCCCTTGCATGCTTTGTGGAGGTGCCTGGATTGGAGTGATTTCACATTCTGTTTCCCGTCACCTCTACAGGGCACGGAAGTGAGCTGTACAAGCAATGCACATATGGATGGAGCTCCGTCACAGCACCGCAGCCCACACTGGACCCCAGGCTGAGGATCCACTCCAATTCTCATAAGGTAGGGAGACTGGGTGGATCTTAAAAAACATTTACAAAAATTAAAAAGTTTTTTGAGTGTGTGAGAATGTCTGAGTGTGTGAGATTGTATCTGTGGTTGTATGTGTCTGTCAGTATTTTTGAGGGCCGTTCACACTAGTACAGTGAGTTAATCAAACAGTGCTGTGTGATTAAAGCACTGTACCATGCAATCGTACCTACTATGCGTTCTGGTGCCGTGGGTTCAATTGCAGTGCAACGTGGATCAGGACCTAATGACCAAGGACAAATGTGGGTCCTGAGGTTACACAGGTTGAGAACCACTGCAATTACAGGATCCCTGCAGACAACTACAGGAGGGGGGTGGATACAAGACCAGCAATTGTGTAGCGATGTCACCAGCACACTAAAATCCTTCTTAGGATAAGCAAATGTTCATTTATTGAAGTTCCTTGTCATATAAACAACAAACGCTTTCGGGGCCACACAGGGTCCCTTCATCAGGCTTTAGCATTGACCATACAAGATCAGTCGCCTTGCACAAGGAGACAGAGCAACAGTGATTGGTCTTTGTTACAGGAAGCTCCTGCACAAAGGAAAACTTTCATGCAGGGTTTGATCTGGAAGAAATACACAAAGCACACCAAGATTCAACTAAGAAAACACATGCATCTTGTATTTAGACAATATCCCAGAGTTCAGCTTTTAGAAAGGTAAAACACTAGACTAAAGAAACTTTGTATCAGTAAAAATGTCTTTTGTTGTTTGTTTGTAAATCTGAAGACATACAGGAGAAAATATACAAAAACATGAAGTAAAGAAAATCTGTTTAAAAACAGTAAAAATAACATTCATTTAAATACATTGAGGGGGATTTATCAAAACTGGAGCAGACAGAAACTGGAGCAGTTGCCTATAGCTACCAGTCAGCATTCACCTTTCATTTTTCAAACCTTAACCGGACAAGCTGAAGAGAGAAGCTGATTGGTTGCTATAGGCAACTGCTCAAGATTCTTCTGTTCCAGTTTTGATAAATTCCCCCGATTGAGGGTAATTTATCAAAACTGGAGCAGACTCTGCAGCAGTTGCCTATATCAACCAATCAGCTTCTCTCTTTCAATTTCAAAGCTTAGCTGAACAAACTGAAGAGAGAAGCTGATTGGTTGCCATGGACAACTGCTCTAGAATCTGTCTGCGCCAGTTTTGATAAATTCCCCCACCCCCATTTATATTTTTTGCCTTAAACTGGCTGTGTAATGGACTAAACAGTGTCACTGCGGGGGGCGTGGCCTGGACATGGCGCCGAGCAGTAGGTAAAGCCTAGAGCTCTGCAGACCCAGGGTGATTTTTACAGGAGATCTACAAGTTATCCGTCCCATCGCCTCATGAAACGCACACACACCACCTCTGACTCCAAGAGAGACGCTTAGGTATGTAGGCTTGGGGAATAACATGTGGCAGTGGATTGGTTCGTTATACTCGAATCCTACAGCAGTGGTTAGAGTGAATGGGGTCCTGTCGGAGCCATTCGACATTTCGAATGGCACCCGCCAGGGATGCCCGCTATCGCCAATTATATTCCTCCTTACCTTGGAGCCACTCCTTCGTACAATTCAGGAATCGTCGGATATCAGAGGCCTTGAGACCAGAGACAGACACCATAAAGTTGCAGCCTATGCAGATGATCTTTTACTTTATGTGTCGAGCCCAGAAACATCACTTCCCAATATCTTGCAAGTATTAGAGACCTACGGACGGCTCTCAAATTTCAAGCTGAACCTCAGCAAATCTGAGGCACTTAATATTTCAATCCCCATCACTCGGTTCTGCAGCCTCCGTACGTCCTTCCAGTTCAAATGGGCGATGTCTCACATTAAATATCTAGGGGTGTGTATCCCAGCGGACATCAAAGACACTTTTGCTCTGAACTTCAACAGTGTCACTGCGATTCAAAATATTGAGCACTAAGTGGCTTCACCGTTTATGAGCGGATTCTTTCATACATCTTTATAATAAATTATTTTTATGTTAAAGTTTTTTGATGTTGATGTGGGAAACATTTTTGCTAAATTTGCACTAATCACTGACTTTTATATTTCTATTATATTTAAGGTTAAATAATAGCGCTGTACTGCTAGGAAAGATTTACTTTGTGAAGTGGCATGTTCATATTTAGTGCTGGCAGCTCAGTTATAAGTGCACACATTTACTGCAATAAATGTTAACAAACACAAAAGTGGGGAAAGAGGATATGAGAAACCTTATTAATGGGAAATTCTATATTTTTTCTCTGAACTGCTGCTCTATAGGAGACATCACTGTGTGTCTACTGAAATATACTCATGTGGCAACCAGCACTTGCCTAATAGCCTGTGTTCAATGCAAATATGAATATACATAAATCTCCCAATGCATATTTAAATAGCTGAGTGCTAACATCTGTAAAGATGCAGGTACGTCCCTGTGTGCATCAAGTGTTAAGTGGAAAAATGAAATGACTCAAAATCATAAAGTTCAAAAGAAAAACAGGTTGTTACACAATAATACAAGCAGCAAGTGTTTTTGGGTGTGACAATTCGGGAAACTGTTTCATCTCCTTATCTCTCGTCAGGGTTTCACAACCTTCTTCCCTTTCACTGCAGCCACAGTTATGTGTGAACTTTGAAGAAAAGAGGTCAATAAGTGAAATGTGTACAGAGGTACTTTATAGTGTTGTGTTCGGAGGCTTTCTCTATATGTAGGCAGTGGTGTATTTTGGTTTTGTGCTGCCCTAGGCAAGACTAAACTCGGGCACCCCCCTAATCTAAATTTGCCCCACCCCATCCTGTATAGGACATTTTGTGCAACCGGTAAGTCACTGGATACAGCGCACAGGTGGTCTCAGGAGAGCTGTGCATGGTCTCAGGAGAGCTGTGCATGGTCTCAGGTGGGCTGTATGGGGTCTCAAGAGAGCTGTGCAGGGTTTATGGTGGGCTGTGTGGGGGTCTATGGTGGCTGTGCAGGGTCTCAGGAGAGTTGTGTGGGGTCTATGGTGGGCTGTGCAGGGTCTCAGGAGGACTGTGCAGAGTTCCTTTCCCTGATATATGTGCTGCTTCTCTTACCTGCAGTTCTAAGTGCCATCAGTACCAACAGGATACATTGCAGTCCCTAGCCTGCTTCTGGGACATCAGATCACATGCTATGGCTAGCCCCGAGCCACCTGCTGCTTCTCCTCCACCTCCTGTACAAAGCCAGCTGGACTGCATCTCACTGGGCCCTCCCCTCCAACGGGCAGCTCTCTAATTAGGCAGACGCGCTCAGGGTCTTGCGGCCACCTAGGTTGCCTGATTCTGTGCTGCCCAGCCTCCGCCCACTGGGCAAGTACCCAGTATGCCCAAAGGCAAGTCCGGCCCTATCCGCCTGAATGGTTTTGGGTGGCATTTTCTGCCAGACCCCTGGAAAGTGCCGCCCTAGGCAAATGCCTAGTTTGCCTTGTGGTAGATACACCCCTGTATGTAGGGCCTGCCTCTTGTGAACGGTTTTAGTGGGGTGCATTTCTTGCATTTCACAATATTTGTCGGTCACCTTTTGCTTTACGTGTTGTCTGATACTAAAATGTTTGTTGCAACTTAATTCAGCTACATGGTCACATGTTTATTATTTGATATGCCATAACTTCATGAATAATCTTTGACATTTTTTCCAGGCTATCAATG